AATAAATAGCAATCTTTCCAGTGAGCTTGAATTTAAACTGGACCTTAATTATTTGTTTTATCCGAATTAATTTTTTCAATAAATAACTTATTTTTATTAAAATTGCATAACATATTTGATCAGCATATTTAAATTTTCATAAATAAAATCTTAACCTTAAGGAAAAATACACACAATATATGTGTGTAAAATATTATTATATTACAAAAAAAAATTTATAACTAGAATACAAAAATCAATAATTAAATTAAATATCTAACAATTTATATAAAATGAATATTTACATAGACACATGCATGTATGTGTGTATAAATAATAAAATCAAATTTTTTGTTGACCTTCTTCATCAAGCCATTTATTTAAAATGATACCAAGTTGATTGAGTTTAAGTGGTTTTGTAACGTAATCGTCCATACCACTTTCAAGGCATTTAGCTTTTGTTCCTTCTGAAGCTGAAGCAGTTAATGCTATTATAGGTATATTTGATGCTGGCGGTTTCATTAACTTTATTTCTTTTGATGCATCAAATCCTGACATTATAGGCTAAATAAATAAATAAATAAATATTTTTTTAAGAATATATTTATATATATGTATATATCTGATAAATATAATTTATATGATTTACCATAGCACAATCCATTAATATTAATGAAATCCTTTCTTCACCATTGGAAGAAGAAAAATTCTCATTTAAAAATTCAGATTTTACTATATCAACAGCTTCTTGACCATTAGTTGCTGTTAATGAAGGGTATCCGAGCTTTATCAATTGATGCTGAATAACTCTTAAATTGATTGGATTATCCTCCTGCATAGAATAATAATAATTAATAATTATATATTTATAATAATTTATCTATTTATCAAAAATAACTTACCACACATAAAATCCGTTTTGTCTTGGTGACTACTCTTGATCTTGATTTTGCCAAGTGATCTTCATCATTATCAGTTGACGACTTTCTTTTCAATAAACCGTCCTTATGGTTATTGGTGTTGTTGGTATCTTTATTTTTGATTTTTGATTTTTTTTCTTGTTCTTTTTGTGCTTCGTTATGGTCAGCAGTTTTAATATTACCATTGACGACTTTATCATCATCTTTTTTACTAATGTTATTGACATTGGTACAACTTACACTAAGGCCCCCTTCAACATTAAAACTAGAAGAATTATTTAATTTATGAATATTTTCGTCAGCATTGATACCGATACTATTATCAATATTAATATCATCTTTATTTTCATTATTATTGTTGTTATCATCTATGATCACATTATCATCCATATTGTTAACATCATTGGATTGATTCTGTTGATGTTGCAAATTTTCTAATTTAATTTCATTCAATTTGTTATTTATTGCATTTGAACTCAAAAGTGATCGATCATGATGATTATTATGATCCGTGCCATTACTGAACGATTCTGATATCGTTGAATCATCATTATTGCTGTATGGTGACGATGATTTAAATAATTCATTATTGCGTAAACAAGCTAAAAATTTATTTTTCATAACTGGTTTACACAGTGCAACTTTTTTCCCGTGAATATTCGACATCATTTTTCTACTAATTATTCTACCACTTACTGACCAAAAAAGCATTATCACAACATAGAATTGACTATCACCATCACTACGATCTCCAGGGTTGTTTTGTTGATTTAGAGAACTCAATTCATTTATCAATTTTTCTTGTTCTTTATAAGTTTCTTCTTTAACGTTAACAAAAACCATATCATACAACGGCCTATTATGACTCTGTCTCCATTTTTTCGATTCTTCGATACCTTTCTCTATTATATCAAATGCATCAACTTTTTCAGAAATTTCGCCAAGTATTTTAATTAAACGATTTCTTGATTTTGCAATATGATCAATTATTAAAACTTTTTTTGATCGAAGAGATGATAATAACTCCTTATCTGTTGTCGTTAGAGATGATAACGACGACGGTGACGATGAATACATTGCTGGTGTGGTCGGCACTGATGATAGTGGTGATGATTCGATAATCCATGTAAACCAAAATGTACTACCTTTACCAAGTTCACTCTCGACACCCAATTTACCACCGTTAATTGCAACCAAATATTTACATATTGCTAATCCAAGACCTATACCATCTTGTGGTCTTGTCATTGATGCGTCACATTGGATAAAACTTTCAAAAATATGCTCAAGGTTTTCTTCCCCAATACTATAAAATAATAATAATAAATTTGTTAAAATTGGTTGATTGTTAATAATTTATAAAATTGTATTTTCTACTATTTAACACTTACCCTATACCAGTATCAGACACTTTAAATAATAAAACATCTTTTTTTTTTTTTTTAATATCGCAATAATTATCTATAAATTTTAATCCATTTTTATTTTCCAAGTTTTCCTCATTCATCACTGATACTTCAACTGTAATTTCTCCGTTTTCTGTAAACTTGATGCTAAATTTTTTTTTTAAATAAAATGTATGAATATGTATATATATTTAAGAAATAAATATGAAGTTATGAATTTATAATGAATAACTTACGCATTTAACAACAAGTTCATCAAAACTTGTTGTAAGCTAGAAGGTGCATTATACATAAAATATTATTGTAATGTTAATATAATCCAATATATCTCCATCAAAAGTATTAAAATATTTACCGTTCAGGATCACTTTTAATGGATTTTTCAATATCAAATGATCCATAGTCTAAAATCAACTCAATTCCTTTAAGACCAGCACGTTCACTAAACATCTCAATTGTTTTCTCCATCAAATCAAATACATCAAAATTTTTATTTGCCAAAGAAATTTTTTGTGCACCCATCTTCGCTGCATCCAATATGTCATTTATAACTGATAAAACCACATCTGATGCTCGAGTCATAATTTGTACCATATCCATTTGTTCATCAGTTAAGGGTGTTTCTTCGAAGGCTGATAACACTCCAATTATTGCACCTAATGGTGTTCTTAATTCTAAAATATGATTAATAATAATAATTATTATTATTCTTGGTATTATTTATAAATTAACTATAAATAAACAACTGTTTAAAAAAAGTGTACGCATACCATGAGAAGTATTTGCTAATATTTGATTTTTAGCATCACTCGCAACTTTGGCAGCTTCAATTTGAGCTTCACGTTTCAACTTTTCTTCTAATAATTTGGAATGAGTAATGGCCAAACTTATTTGATTGGCAATTTGCTGTAAAAATATTTTTTCACTATCGTTGAAATTCCTATGCGCAGGTCGATGAAATGATATCCAACCCCATCGTTTCTTCTTCACAATTATTAATATGCAATATAATGATACACGTTCTTTTAAAAATGAGAAATAATAATTTGGCATTTCAAATTGATCAATATATTCGCCATTCTCTCCATTATTACTGGCATCGTTGTTGTTATCATGTTCATCGTTCAAATAATCATTTCCATCTATTTCGGAAATGTGACCATCAAGAAGTCTAGGATCAGTTTGTATGTTAATTAGTTCTTCAAGGTAGTCAATTGTTTTACCAACACAAGAAAATTCTCTTTCATCTTTTGAAATTTGTGCAAGAATAACGGCTTCATTAACTTCCACATTATAAAGCCCATTACCAGGGTTATCAATTTTATCAGCATAGATTAGAATTCTATCGCAATCAAAAATTTTATGAATTTCTTTTATAACATTTGAAAGCGTTTCTTGTAAATCATTCTCCGAATGGATTTCCTTCGAAATTGTGAATAGTAATTCTTTTGTTATGTTTTGTTGACGCCGTTGATTATATAACGTCTGACGTAAATTTGATAACTTTACATTTGCACGAACTCTAGCAATCAATTCTTTTGGTTGAAATGGTTTTGTTAAATAATCATCTGCGCCATTGTTTAGTCCTATTTAATAAAAATAAATAATATAGTTTAATATAGTTTTTTCCCTTGTAAAAATCATCTCTTTTAATTAATGTGACTAATAATAAATTAATTTACCTGTAATACTTGCTTCTTCGCCAGCTTTAGCAGACAACAAAATAACAGGGATCGATTGAGTTCTTGGATCGGATCTTAAAGCATTTAATAATTCAATCCCATTCATGTTTGGCATCATTATATCTAAATATAACATAATTATTTTAATAAATAAATAAATATTCGTATTTGATTATTAAAAAAAAAATAAAAAAAATAGATATATTATATTTACCACTAAGTACAAGGTCAGGTAATTTTTTTAAGCTTTTAACAATTGCAAGTGCATCTTTACCATCTGAAGCTGAATAAACTTTAAAATCATCTTTAAATAATATACCAGCCAAATACGCTCTACAAAAAAATACAAATGCAAAATAACGTAAATAATTTGATTCATTCAAAAAACAAAAAAGAACAAAACATATATGTTTGATTAATGATAATACCTCATGTCGGTATTATCATCAACAAGTAATACACGAGTTTTTTGTTTTTTTGGTTGTCGTAGTTGAATTTCACCTTCATTATCATTATCATCATCATTATCATTATGATTGTTATTATTAATAATATCAAAATCATTATCTTCAAATTTCATCATATTATCATTAGATTCGGCATCGTCATCATCATCATCATCATCAAATTTATTTAATTCAGAGTCATCCTTAAGATCGGGTTGATTATTTTTAATCCATTGATAACTTTCTTCTAAATATAATTCTCTATTAAACTTATAAAATGAATGTTCACTTCTATCGCGTCTATCATTCTCAATGATATTTAACATTTGAATATCTTTATCGGAAGGAGAAGCACCAAAAATCACTCGATCAAGTGGCAAATGTTCAAAACCAGTAGGTATCCAAATTTTAAATGTTGAGCCTACGTCAACTTTTGATTCAACAGATATATCACCCCCATGGAGATTTATTAATTCTCTTACTAACGCCAAACCGATACCTGTACCTTCATAACTACGTGATTGTTTTGATTCAACTCGGTAAAATCTTTGAAATAGATTAGGAAGATCATTTTCTGGTATACCTACACCTGTATAATTAATTTGAAATAAAGAAAAAAACATTAGTTAATATAATTAATTTATATGATTTAAACAACCTTTGTAAAACGTTTAAAATTTTCACCTGTATCGGAAACTTCGAATATAACAATTTCTTTATCATCTTTTTTATCAATATATAATCTTATAGTAACTGAACCCTCCCAAGTATGTTTGAAAGCATTTGAACCTATATAAAATAGATCGACGACATAATTAATTCATCAAATGAGAGTTTTTTTTAATTTGAAAATTTTTTTCAATTAAAAAAAAAAAACCACCTACATATATTAAACACAATCTTTTCATACATATCTTTATCCAAATATACTTTTTTTGTTATATTTTTATTAAAAATTTCCGGTTTAATTATTTCAATATTATATTGTAAGTTGAGTGATTGTGCCATACTTTCAAAACATGAAGCGAGTTCTATAGTTAGTTTTGAAATGTCGGTTTCACGATATATTGCTTCTAATCTTCCTGCTTCAATTCTTGAAAACTACATATATTTATAATTATTTATAAAATATTAATAACAATAAACAAACTTACTTATTTTATTTTATTTATTTCATATTACCTGCAATAAAGAATTGACAAGTTTAAGCAATCTGCGAGAGTTTCTTTGTGCCATATTTAAATGAGTTAATAAAGTATCATGTTTGGCACTTGTATTTTTTTTGTTAATAATTTCTGTATTATTATTATTATTTTCATCGTCATCTGCTGATTTATCCCTTAATTGTTTACAAATAGTAGCTGCTTCATCTAATGGTGATAACATCAGCGTTAATGGTGCTATAAATTAATTAAATTATTATTAATAGATTGATAAATTTTATTTTTTCGCCCAAAAAAAAAAACCAAAAAAAAAAAAAAATAATAGTACTTCTCAGCTCGTGGCTAACGTTCTGAAAGAACATGATTTTTTGTCGATTAAGATCTTCTAAAATTGCTGCTTGTTTTCTTTCTTCTTCTCTTGACCTACCATGGGTCATTGCTGAATTTGCATGACCCATAACTAGCTATAATGTCAAATTAATTATTATTGTTTTAATTAAAACAAATTCGTTAAAAATTCAATAAATGAATCAATGTATATATATAATAAAACAATATATAAAACAATGTTTAACAATTACCTTTAGAAAATCTATATATTCATTATCAATAGTTCTATATACATTTATACCACAAATCATGATAGCAGTTAATACAGGTTTACCACCTGAATTTATATAAACAGGAAATATTATAGCATATGAACTATTCTTTAATTTTACTATGACCTCGGTATGATCATTTTTACGATTAGATTTTAGGACATTTTTTAATGGCCAAGTTGATGATGATGTGTCGGATAAATCTAATGGATGACCATATTCAGATAAAACTTCCTTATTTATTTTTGGTACAGTTAAATCTGATGATGAGGCTGAAAAGGTGGAAGAGGAATCAGTAATGTTATCGTCACCATCCATCGTCAAATCTACAAAGTCGTAAGTTCTTGGGAAATAATCTGGTAACGAACGTCTTGATTTTCCTTTTACAAAAGTGCATTTTTTAACACCGTTTTCATCTAATTCAATTTCAAGATCTTCGTCAAATGTAGTTGCGATCAAATCAGCAGATTTGGCTGAATTATTCTTATTTTCAATCAAGTAAACTAATGAATATGGTATATCTGCATTGTGTTCTCTTAAAGTAGAAGTCAACAGATGACAAGCGTTTTCTACTGATTTTGTACCTATATATCAATTAATTAATGTCATAAGTGCACGTACATACATAGATAGATTTACATAAATATACTTGTGGTATCTACCTGGCGTGTTGTTACCCAATTCACTTAGAGCCTTTAATCTTCTTGCACCTAAAACTTTTTCAGTTGTCTCTTGAACAACAGCAAGTATACCAGTCACGGTATCTCCATTAAATATTGGATTTAAAGCAAATGAGAAATAGGTCTCTTCATTATAACCATCTCGTTGAAGAAATAATTTTGTATCATCTTCTGATGTTCCTTTGCCTGATGCTTTGACCCTAGTAATAATTTTTTATTTTATTATTATTATTATTATTATTGTTATTATTATTATTATAATAGATATTGTAAAAAAAAGATATTTTTTAAAAATAATAGATATATATATACTCTTGAAATAATTTCATAAACTTATCATAAATTTCTGGCCAAACTTCTCCAAAAGTTTTTCCCAAAGCTAATAATTTCGATAATTAATTAATTTACTAACTAGGCAATGATAATCAAAAATCACGTGTTAGTGTCATGTGATTTTACATACCCGATGGATGCTTCATTTTCAATATTGGTCTCCACACTGCATTAATGATTGTAATAAATTATTATTATACAATGATGACAATTCACATGAATAAAAAACCAGTTATGTAAAGACTTACTTTGATTATATATAAACACCAAATCGTCACCATAATATATTGCCATTGGAAACACAGAATGTATACATATGCTCTAATTATTTTATAATTATTTTATTTAATAAAAAATAATTTTAATTTTTAAATAGAATAATTTATAAATACCACAGCCGATTTCAATGAAGAATCCCATGATTCTACCGGACCTAAAGAAGTTGACGCCCAATCATAATTGCTAATAAGATCTTTTATGGGAGTTTCTTCAGAGTAGGATGTTGATGGTAAATCGTCATTGTCAGCATGATTTGTAAACGACATGAGGTTGACTGTATGTGTATATATATGTATATAAAATTAAATTAATTGATTGTTGTAAATGTAATAATAATTTATTATTATTTAAAATATTTATATTATTCAATGAGTTGAAATAAAATGAAAGTCGAGAAAATAGTAATGGGAATTTCAAATAAAATTTATTTTAATTGAGGAAAGAAGATGATAGGAAATGAATATATATATTTAATTAAATCCACGGTGTGATCCTTAATAAAATTTCTTTTAACTCACATTCCATAATTGGTTTAGGATAATGGTAAATGGGTGATTGACTGACAATGGATGATTTTGAATAATGTATGTAATATAAAAAAAGATTGTAAGTTAAAAAATACAATAATAATAATGTTTGTTTAATAATGTTTTCTCAAATTTTGAATAACATGTTTTTTTTTAAGAAAAGAAAAAAAAAAGATTCTAATTTCGACCAAGCCAGAACAGTCCAGACCATTTTATTATATGTGTGTTTTTTTTGTTTATATTTTGTGTAAAAAAACATTTCCCCAAAAAAAAAAATGATTGACCAAACAAAGTTTTTGTTTTGTTACAAGTTTAAAGTTTAATGTTACCTATTATTATTTCAATGGCGTATATAAACCATCACATCCGTTTCCTCAATTCTAAACAATTTGTGCTAATTAAATAAACACTGTGTGGAAAAAAAGTATTAATATCCAATATAATTAACATGCCAGCCAACAGAATGATAAATTTAATAATAATAATAATTTAGAAACATAGAGGCATCATGTCAAATGTTACAAAATGGCATTATATACTTCAATCTCGTGCTCCTAAATTAACAATGCTACCTTTATATTGAATAGTTTACAAGGTTTTGAATCTTCTGACTTGAGCTTGGCTTCGTTTTATTGGAATTTAGTAATGAGAGACCTCAGGGCCTCTCAACCTGAGGAGAGGTACAACGTATGATTCAATGTAGAATAAAAAAGTAGGGAGGTGCTATCACGTTACAATTTTATTAGACGCTAATGGAATCAGGATTATAGACAATAATAAAATTTGATGCTTAGAAACTTCAGGGATTCTCAATCCGAGGGTCAATTAAATTAGATACACTATTTTAAAAGCAGCAGGAAATATATTAAAGATTAAATGTTATTAGTGGCAGCATTATTATCAATGTATTATCTGAAGTCAATAAATTAATAGATGGTATTGTTAATAATTCAGAATTCCTTGACGAAGAAAAAAAATCGAAGAGTCTTGATGTACGATGTAATGTAGAATAAAGAACACAGGGTGTGTAAGGGAATCCTACGCGTAATTTTATAACTTGATTAATCAAATAAAAGGTTTGCCTGACAAAATCATTCATTGGACCTGAGCAGCACTCAAATGCTTCTTCGTCTTCTTATAATCATTCGGCAATCTAGATGTACATTGAACTATTAATCGGAAGATAGTTAATTAATATCTATATTAACATGCAAAAATTCAAATTCAAAATCTATATTTTTCTTGTGGTTTGTTGTATCACTCAAAAACCTATGGGCGAACATTTATGAATAATGTGACATTTGCATCATGCGCCTATTGTTGTAATGTAGTGTAATGGTTCAATAAATTTATATTAATTCCATATGTGAAGGCCGTGCAGATTTTTGTGATGTTACACAAAATTTACAACGGCTGGGTACGAATAGGATCAGGAAAAGTTTATTGGTGAAATTTTTCTGTTTGTGCAAGTTACGTAGTAACCTTTGGAGTTAATTTTTTTCCTTATTTGGATTTAAGTTTAATTTTCTATTGACCCGAATTATAGTGTTGTAACCACCTTTCCTTTTTTTAAAGTACTTTTGAATCATAGCATTGGCGTTGGGTGACATTCATTTCATAATAATAAGATTTTTCGGGTAACACCAACTAATATTTATTTTTTGTACATAATCATATCATGTAATAGAGGTTGGGTATTTTGATGATCTTCGGGGAGACATACATATACATATACATATTTCACTTAAAGACTTCAAGCTATGTCAGAGTATTACGTTCAACTTTAATTATTTGTATCTATGATGAAGGTTTTTTAAATAATTCTGGATGTAAAAGAAATAATTTCAACAGCTTTTATTGTGAAAATTTGAATAATTTATCTTACATTACGTTAGAAGTTTATAAGCCAGTTCCAGGAGATGCTTTAATGTCGTGGGTAAATGAAGAAGGGTTGACCAGGCCCATTGAGAGTATATAATAAGTGGCCCATTTCCATTAATAAAATACCAAATGTTACACGATGGATCCAATGGACCGGTATCATGCCACCCTTAATAATATTAAATGAAATGAAGGATCTCTCACAAAATGATCCAAGATATTCATGAAAAAAACAAAAATTTTATATCGTCAAAGAAATTTTAAATTTGAGTTTTTGGTCATATATAAATTCTTATTCGGGGTCCTAGCTAGTGTTGATTGAAATTACTTGCCTTTTTCTAAAATTTTAAATGGTTACAGGACATAGAGATTCAACTTGAGTGCGTGCGCTGCCTTCAGATGATTGTTTGTTTAATTAGATGTTTTTTCTTTGAGGAGGAATACATGTATGTATTTTATGCATTAGTTGAGGCACAATTACTATTGTATCATCATCTGTCATTACGCGTTACAAAAAGTAAATTTACTCGTTAATTATTAATTTACCTAGTGTAACATTCATTAAAAAAATGAGTAGTGAACTTGCGAATAAAATACAGAAGATACACACACTCAACTGGTCATGAGGACACTTGCAGATCATAGGAAATAATTGAATAAAAAAATGTTTTATTATCATCCTAACCACATTTGCTTATTAAGTAAAAATTCATCTTCATATAATATACTGAAGTTTCACCGCATATAAAAAACAGCTTGTTGTTTTAACGAACCTTAAAAAATAAAATGAATTTTTCAGAATTTTTAAAAAAATCTTCGCCTCGAAGATTGACCACAATGGCAAGTTCTAACTGCCTTTGTGGTATAAGTAAAAAAAATGCGTCTTATGTTTAAATCTAGTTACATATAATATTCTAGAGCATTTGGTAAATTAATTGGCGAGAAAAATAAAAATAAAATGTAGAAACTTTTACGAAGCGATTCAACCTCAAACTTCTCACCAATTTAAAACATAAAAGACATATGAAACCTTTTTAAATTGATTGTATTTATTAAAAAAAAAAAAAAATCAATATCTTGTCGGATTTCCTTTACTTTTTAAAACAGCATCCATCATTCGTGGTATACTATCTATTAATCTATTAATTCTTCCCAGGATAGTCTTAAACCGTTCCTCTTTTAATAAATTGAATAACTCTGTCTTATTTTTTTGGTTTTGAGTTTCTCATTTCTAAGTCTTCTTTTTAAACAAATTATTTAAAAGATCTTCAAAATCAACTCGTTCGAATATTTTGTATGACATCTTGGCAATTAATTATTTAAACATAAGACGCATTTTTTTACTTATACCACAAATGTCGTTAGAACTTGCCATTGTGATCAATTTTCGAGGCGAACATTTTTTTAAAAATTCTGAAAAATTCATTTTTATTTTTTAAGGTTCGTAAAACAACGAGCTGTTGTTTATATGCGGCGAAACTTCAGTATATTATACTATTAGATATGAAGGTGAATTTTTACTTAATAAGCAAATGTGGTTAGGATAATAATATTTTTATTTTTCATGTTTAATGGCTTTTTGGTGTCACAATACTATAATCACATGACCCAAACGGTTAGCTAAACCCACTAGGATAACTATAAAGAAAATAAACAAATATACTGTATGTTTGCTATTTTTAATTTAACATATGTTTTTTATTAATAATTATCACAACAAATTATAATCAATAAAATTTTTGTTGAATGGTAAATAAAGAAAATTTTGACATAATATTATTAACCAACACCCCAAGTAATAATTCGTGACGCGAGGCATAGTTCGTGATTCGAAGCAAGGCCCTAATTGTAATCCGGCAAGAATTAGGTATTTTATCCCATAGTAATAATTATCAAGTATAATTAGTATAATTTGATGAAAAAATTAATGTAAAATTTTTATTAGAAGAATAGAAGAATATTATAAATTATATATAACTTAACAGTCGACTTATTGGATATTGTTTCATTTCCCCTACCATCTACAATTTTTATTTCCTTCTATATTAATATATCTTCTACCTTCCGATCGTGTACATATATCTGAAAACAGCTTCATTATTCTCATAATATTTAATGGCCTGACCCCAAACATTCATTTAAATTTTCCTTCCTTTAAAAAACACATCTATACAGCCTACCAACACTTGAATATCTTGTTATATAATTTCTAAATATCAAACAAATACAGTTTCATGACAAACTAGAAAAATTTCTTCCGTCCTCTTCCGCTTCTATAATTTTTGTAATAGTAACAACTCCAAAAACCTGATATAATTTCTTGTTTAATTACCTAACCAAAATCCAGGAACTTCTAATGATGATATACTTACAGGCGTACTATTATATTTTTTATGTTTGAGTTTTCGTAAACCATTAATGTTTTATATTCAATAATGTTGGCACAAATTGCATTTATAAATTTGATTCTAATTTAAAATAAAACTATTAGATTAAGTTGTCAGGTATATTTAATATACTTGCTTGGACTTGAATTTGGTCATTTTTATAATTATGTATATACAGTGAACCCTCTATAAGTGCATCCCCCTCGGGAACATAGTGCTATTTCTTGTGAGCGTGCATTTATGGAGGGTGTGCATTTATGGAGGGTGATTTTATAAGCTCTCTATAAGCTTGGGGATGAGATGGGCCGTGCATTTATGGAGGGTATACATAGTGCGTGCATTTAGGGAGGGTGCATTTAGGGAGGGTTCACTGTATGCATATTTACGTTTGTTCATATGTACCATTAAATAAATGGATCACCACTAATGCTGATCTTTGTTTCGTAAAGAACCAAACGCAAAACCAAAAGTAATCAATAGTCAAAGCTCAAATTAGGTCATTATGTACAAATTACGTAGGCTAGATATACGTCTTTCACTGTTATTTATTATAACAAGGTCTTGGGTGGCGGTAAATAGTTGTCAGGAAGACCATAAAGAGTATTCAAAAGTCAAGAATGTTTGTTGAAAAGAAGAAAATTGGCGGTAATCTAAGGTGTGAGTAACTGCAGGATAATAATTAGAGTTGTAAAATTACAATTGCTAATCACCTGAGACAATCACGTTTAGAACCAAAGATTTAAAAGCTTAAAATTTATAGGTCAATGTGATTGGCTCATTTCACGCATGTTGAATTTCAAATTCAAAAATCTCGAAATCGAATTTGATTATCGGGTTTTTGTAACCAAATAAAAAATAAAATAGAATAAAATAAAAAAATAAAAATAAAATATAAAAATAAAATATAAAAAAAAAATTTTATTTTATTTTTTCATTACAATTACATAATAAGATGAGGTATAATTATAATAGTATATTTGGAACTCTCTATTCGCTCGCCAGTACTGCATTCGTTATCTATGTTTTATATTTAATTAAATCTGGACAATTAACAATAGAGGATATTTTAGTTGGGATTAGTCCATATGGTTGGGCTTTAATTGGAATAGCCTTGTGTATAGGACTTAGTGTTATCGGTGCTGCATGGTAATTAAATTACTTGATTAGTTAATTAACTTCTTTAATTCATTATTTATTTTTTTATTTATTTATTAGGGGAATTCTTATTACAGGTGGTAGTATTCTTGGTGGAGCTGTTAAAGCTCCTAGGATTCAAACAAAAAATCTCATAAGGTAAAAACAAGTAATAATAATAATAGTAGTAGTAGTAGTAGCAGTAGTAGCAGTAGTATTAGTAACAATAATTATCGTTGTTGTTTTTTACAAACTGTCCAACTTTGAATTAATCATACCTACGATTTTAATAGTATAATTTTTTGTGAAGTAGTTGCTATATATGGAGTTATTATGGCAATAGTATTTTCAGCAAAATTAGAAAATGTTGCCGGTCAAAACTTATATACTAAGGAAAATTTATATACTGGTAAAAAAATATAGACATAATCAATCGATTTATTGTTATCGATTTTATTTAATTCATTCATTCATCCATTCATCCATTCGTGAATTCGTTAATTCGTTATAATTTTTATTATAGGATATTCACTTTTTTGGGGTGGTTTAACTGTTGGATTTTGTAATTTATTCTGTGGTGTTGCAGTAGGAATTACAGGAAGTACTGCCGCATTAGCTGATGCTCAGGATCCTTCTTTATTTGTGAAAATTCTTGTTGTAGAAATTTTTGGTAGTGTTCTTGGACTTTTTGGTTTAATTGTTGGTTTGTTACAGGTAAAAAAATGATGATTTTTTAATTTGTTGTTTGTTAATATCAAAAATATGATTTTTAAACCTTTTTATTATTATTTCTAGACTGGAAAAGCTCATGAATTCTCACCGTAATAAAAATATAATCAATGGTGAGTCATGGAATTTATCGGGAATCGGATTAATTTTATTATTTATATATATATATAAAACACTAATTTTAACAAATATATTTTGTAATTTTTATTCAATTAATAAATAAAATTTTTTAATCTATTAAAAAAATTTTAAAGAAATCCATATCTATTTTTTCTTTGGTAAAGGTTTTACAAATGGTAGGAAATCACGTCCTTCCATATATGGTCGAAGTACTTCTGGTACAATTACTCCCTTTTAATAAATCAATAAATATAAATAAATCAATACAAATTTATATACACGCACATAAATACACAAAACATGCGACACATATATTTGTACTTACGTCTGATGTCTGATAATTTTCCAAAATACAACATATAGTTCTCTCGGTTGCACATAATGTAGCATTCAAACAATGCACATATTTCTTTTCTCTATCACCCATTTTTTTAGTTCCGCACCTAATTTCCAACCGCCTAGATTGATAATCTGTACAATTTGAACAACTGACTAATTCTTTATAAGACCCTTGATAAGGAAACCAAGCCTCTAGATCGTATTTTTTTGCTGCTGCGTTATTCAAAGCTCCCGAAACAATGGAAACAAGTCGATATGACAATCCTAATGATTGATAAAATTCTTCGGAAGTGATAACCATCTCATCAAATTGTTCCCAGGATTTTTCTGGTTCAGTAATAACAAATTGTTCCACCTTTTCAAATTGATGCACACGAAAAATGCCCCATGTATCTTTACCATGAGCGCCTGCTTCTTTACGAAAACATGTAGAATAGCCTGCATATCTACATAATTGGTTGAAAAATCACATGATTCAATTTTTTACCAAAAAAAAAAAATAAAATATCACGTTAATTGATCATTCAAGTATTATTATATTACTTTAATGGTAATTGTTCTGTTGGTCGTTCAAACCATTCATTAGCATGAAAAGTAGAAATTGGTTGTTCTGAAGTTGCTATCAAATATTTGTCTTCTCCATCTCCAATAACTTTATAAAGTTCTTCATCGAATTGTTCTAATTGTGCAGTCTTTGCCATGTACTCCTTTCGCATGAAAAATGGTGTTTGTAATTTATTATAGCCTTTTTTTCGTAAAAAAGATAATCCATATTGTATTAATGCCATATTAAGATCAACACCGTCATTGGTTAAGAAATATCCACGATGCCCTGCAATATTTGTTCCTAAAAAAAAAAAAATAGAAAAATATTCGCTTATTTTATGGTTTAATTAAAAAAATAATCTCAAAATAATATAAATATAATATTTCCTACCTCTTTCTGGATCATATCCACCGATACGATGCAATACCTCATGATGGGATGAGATTCCATCTTTTTTTATAGGTTTTCTATTGGTATAAATATCACTTGAATCGTCTGATGTTGGTTCCCACTTTTTAACTATTTCGTTATTTTCTTCATCCATCGAAGTTGGAACTGATTGATGAACGATATTTCCAATTGTTGATGCTTCTGATTTAAGTATTTCCTCTTTTTCTTTTTCAACCGCCATCAATCTAGTTTTATCTTGACCTAACGATTCTTTTTCTTCGATCAATTTTGTAGCATCTGTTTTATTCTAGTATCATGAATTATCATTTAATTTTTTTAAGAAATCAACTTTTTCAATGTTACTTTACATAAATTTTCCTTTTTTTTTTTTTTTTACCTTCATTTTCAAAGCAATTTCTTTCTGAATAACGTTGATTTTTTTATTAACCTGATCTAATTCAAATCTTGCTATCATTTAAATTGATGCATTAATTTAAAATAGATAATAAATTAGCTCAAGGTCATAATGTTTGTTGGGAAAAAAATTTGCTCATTCATGTAAATAAAGAAAAGTACCAGTTCGCCATTCATCATACAAACTAATTATTTTGTCAACTATCTCAACTGGAGCGCCCCTTCTACGCTGTGACTCACGAATAAGTTCAGGATTTCCACCTTTTTCAACTTGAAATAAATTGAGATCAAGCATTGTTTATTAAAAGATAGATTTATTTTTTTACCTTATTATTATCATTAGAGAAATGACAATCTGCTGATTTTGGGGTACAAAATTTTGGGCAACAAAAAATACTCGAATTTCGAGTCGAAATTCGAGTAGTAGTAGGGATGGTATATAATAATAACATGTTATAAACAATTTGAGGGGTATATACCATATTTATACCCATGGTATATACCCTACTAAAAAATTACACAAGAAATCAATTGTGGTATATACCACTAATATGTAATATGCAATAA